CGTTTGTCCGCCGAGGCTTCGACAAGCGCCCACTACCAGAGACCATGTCGTAAATGCTTTTCTCGAGTTTACCGCAGTGGTGGAGGCAACCAGGCAAGTCAACATGCGGAAATGCGAATCCATTCTGCAGACTTACCTGCAAGGAAACGAGCTAATACTGAACGATAGACTCGAAGCAGCAGAAGCAGTCATATACGACAACAACACCTCGAGGGTACTGAGAGGAACCTCTATAACTCGAAGTATGGCTGCTTATAACGCAACTGCCGGATTTGTGTCTCTGGACGAGAGGGAATCCGATCGATGCGGAGTGTTAAAGTTTAAAACTCCTCCAGGGGATTCCCTAGTAGTGGTTGCCAAATGCACCAGAATTATGCTGGACGATAGAATATTAGAGATGGCAAGATCCATTTCTGATTCTGGATCAGACGGCGAAGTTTTTGGAGACTGGCATACTCCGACGTTTCGCTGGACAAATGGCGTCCCTGGTTGCGGAAAAACGACATGGATAGTAGATCAATTTGAAGCGGGCAAAGATCTAATTGTCACCACGACAACCGAAGCAGCAAATGACCTCAGAGGCAAACTATCCTGCCGAATCGGAGGACTCGTCAAATCTAGGGTTCGAACAATGGCGTCCATCCTAGTAAACGGCTTGGGGGAGCGAGAGAGCTGCCATCGCCTAATGGTAGATGAGGCTCTCATGAACCACTTTGGAGCCGTTGTGATGGCCGCCCGAATAACTCGAGCCAAGGAAGTCCTTCTAATTGGTGACATAAATCAGCTTCCGTTTATAGATCGTGATAACCTCTTCCCTCTACTCTACAGCCGCCCTACATATATCACGCCCATAAGCCAGGAATTGATGTGTACCCACAGAAATCCAATGGATGTGGCGTATGCCCTCAGCACAGTTTACAGTGGCATATATTCGTCCAGGTCGTTCGTGAGATCCCTCGAGATAAAAAGGTTCTCGGGGGCGATGATTCCAAAGTCACTCCCCGACACTTTATACCTGGTACACACTCAGGCAGAGAAGGAATCCCTTAAGAACCAGGGATACGGGTCGACCGTGGGATCACGCGTGCTCACGATACACGAGGCACAGGGACTTTCGTGTGCGAATGTGATTGTTGTCAACACAGCAACAAAGAAACATCAAATACATGACAGCGTACCACACGCGGTAGTAGCAATATCGCGTCACACGCATGGTTGCATCTATTACACAGACAACAGTGAAGACGCGATAAGCAAACTAATCAGGAAGGCGGCTGATGAGGGTGAGCAAGGTATTAAGGACTACAACCTGAAAATGGCTATCAAACACAGGGACGCGGCAGTCATGGGTGCTCTCTTGGGCGGGGAGTGTTGCTTGTGATGAAACGAATGCAACATGAGGAAATGTGTGTGCAGAAACATGTAGAAATAGAATATAACCAATTGACTTTGGACTATTGTACGCTTTATTGGAATCGGCCCACGTGGCAAGGGTTGAGGCGTCATGCACACATAAATGTCCTACAGTCGGTGGCGCTGTGTGTTGGGTTGTTCCGTTCCCAATAAAAAGGTTGACCGGACCAATTGCTGACACACACGTCATACTCGTGAACGGGTGCCTTCTGCTGGGTCAGGTCGGCTCTCCCATCTTGTTGGTGGGCTGGTTTCATAAAGCCTTTGAAATAGAAATAAATAAATAGTGCCTAATTATTATGTAACCTATACTTTTGGTAATAATTATAGATGTAGTTAATTGTAGTGTGTAACTAGGTTCCCTCTTTACTTTATAAAAATTGACTAGATATATTATAATTAAAAAACTGTATGACAAGGGCACGGACCTAGAGTCCGTGGAGATATAATCTATAATATTAAAAAAAACTATAAGATTCAAATGACCATTTTCGACAACATCTGGCCTGGGTAACGCACACCGCACGCTGCTTATAAGGAATAACCCCTCTTTTCTCAGTACATTCATGTGAGTAACCCGCGTTTTTAGTTAATTCAGTATGTCTCACGATAGTTATTTTAAAAACACACATTTCCATGTTTCTAATATTAGTATAGACTAGCTTTTACCCGCGGCTTCGCTCGGGTCACAAAAGGATAAAAAGTCTATGTGACATATACCAATACATACAGCGCCATCTATACCAATACTTTTGTTTTCCCTCGGGAATATCAAATTTTTCCGGGATAAAAAGTACCCTATTATTTAATCCAGACTTCTAACTTTACGTCTGCAAAAATTCAAAGCAATCGGTTTAGTAGTTACGGCGTGAAATCGGAACAAACAAACTCACTTTCGGATTTATAATATCAAGTAAGATTAGTAAGAAGTAAGATTTATGTCATCTAACGTTTTGTGACAAGTGAGTTTACGAATAAAATGATAATCTTTTTTTTGTTTACATGATATTTTCATTAAGGTATCCAAAGAGGTTGAGAGCATTCTTAATCTGTAAGAGCGGGGACAAATAAATGATAGGAGGATTTCTTGACAACTAACTGAAATATTTGGAATCTCCGGTGTTCTATCAAAAAACTAATTACGCAGAGATGAATACTAATATTAATTCTTGAGAACCCACAGTATTTCATTCGTGTCTTTGAGAGCCGGATTTAGTATGGAAGTTTGCCGATCTCCTTTGTAATTTATGACGGCCAACGAACACAAGCACGACTAGTGATAGACACATATGACGTCATCGGAACTGTAGGTGCGTTTTAGCGCGAAAATTTAAACAGTTAGTTACAGTAAAACCGAATTTTTTATTAAATAAAAAATGAGTTTTTTATTACAGTAGTAGTAAAACCGCATTTTTTATTTTAGTAAAAATTGCTGTTTTAAACGAATTACGATAGAAAAAAATGCGCAATATTAAAACAATCTAATTTAATAATTACAATGTTTTAATTTTTTAAATGTTTATGACCTATTTTATATGAAATTCTTCAAAATAAAAACAAACTAAAAATATTGCATGTTCCCTATTGGGTCGTCTAATAAATATTAGTCCAGGATATGGGTATTTTTTTTTTAATATTTCACCAGTTTGACTATTAAACAAATTCTATTCCAATCGCAAGTATGAAGCCCATAAAATATGGAAACGATGTTTTTCCAGCCATAACTCTCGGGTGCCAGGTATATTGATAGTAGTATTGTACCGGTCTGATAATTTAATAAAATTTAAATGAAAATAAAGATAATTTAATTATGAACACAGTACAACAGAACAGAACAGTATAGGGTTGCGTGCGAAAAATTGAATTACGGTAGTGAATTTTAGAAAGTGAAATATTGCCGCGAGTCAATAAGTACAACTGAGACGTCTCATACATTAAAAGAGGAGTGTTGAATGAAGTGTCAAATATTCAAAGTATTAAGGTATATGGCGTTGGAGAATTGGCCCTAATTGGATTATTTTACAACTTAATAAAGTTAAAATTACATTGGTACATACCTCTTTATTAGGAAGTAACACTAATTGTCCATTAAAAACTCTGTCCTTTATTATTTTAGGGCAATTTTCAACTAATTCTTGCCAGTTGCTTGGTAGGTTTTCTTGATATTTTTCTCTACAAGACAGAAATAAAAAATAATAGTGAAAAATAGAAACGATTTTTTACCAAATCACATAGTTTTTCAAAGTATTTGTTCCTTTATCAGTGGCCCTTACAAATTAAGTAAATAAACATAAAGAACGCACCTGTACAGATGTGGTACTGTGTTGGCCCACAGCCCAGCTTCATGTTCTGACACTAACTCTGTTAGATATACAATAGCATTGCTACTTGAAGAAGTCGGCTTTCCCCCAGCTTCGGAACTTTCTATAGCCGAAAGCAACTTCACTGCTCCGACTTCTTTAGCTAAATCTTCGGACGGTGACGAGTCAGGATATGAGGATACACTATATGATCCTCCGACCTACGGATGGACATAACGGTGTAAAAATAAGGCTTTAGCCATCGTAATCGTAATCGATTTGGATTATTGCTACACTATTACTTTCTACACTCTATTTACAATACAAAACTCTTTACTATAAGAAAATAAAAAAAAACTGGGCAAGTTCCTTACAATTCATTCGTCTATTAATTTGAGCAATAAATGGCATTATAATCAAATTTGTTGGATGGGAGCTCTAATTTTATTATTTTATTTAATGTTATTTATTTTACTTTCGTTTTTGTTGTTATAGCGGCAATAGAAATACCTATATAATCTTTCCAAATGTTTACTATCTAGCTTCAGTCAATCAATTGTCAGCATCACGGTTCATGAGAACATCCTGATATCTAGCAAAAACGGGAAAATATCACGTTTGTTGTATAGGAAATATAGGAACCCTCTTAAATATTTATTACATATAGTACAGTTCAACTGTACAGTGAATACTGCACAGTTAAATGGTATGTGGAACTTCAATTAGGTTCGCAAAATTTATGAATCGTATTTAATTTTATTTTAACATTGTGCCGCTAATTGATTTAGTCTTGTACCGGCTTCTGCCCTCGTGGTCGTACGATAAAAATTATCCTGTGTTATTCCAGTCTAAAGATCCAAATTTCATTCCGGTCCCCTCAGCCGATTTGACATGATTCGAGTAACAAACATACATTGATATTTTACTAGATTTCATCACCACCACATATCTAGTCAAACTTAAATTGTAAACGTCAAACGTTATTAAAATATGTGACTATTCATAAAAAATATTATAGGAAGTTATCCACTTTAACAGAACTGAATATTCAGATCAAAAAAGTTACAAATACATTATGCATGTAAATCAACTTTTTTAGTGCCCTGCTTACATGTTTCACCCCCTTCATATAAGTTTCCGATGAATGATGACAGATGTTTCTTACAAATTAAGTTTTTATTTCGTTATCTGGTAAGAAGATGCTATGCAAAAATTGTGGAACAGGCTCAAAGTACAGGCAGTGCGATGTCATGTTTGAATGTGTAAGGTACAGGAAATAATTACTTTCACGGTGCAGTCGAAGGTTACAGGTCCCCGTTTCGGTTTAAACTCATGTACTTTATACACAGGTTCTGGAAGTCCAAGTTTTTTACAAGTCCAAGCTAATTTTTCAACAGATGATGTAGAATCGGGAGGTGGTTCTAAGTTATGAGCTGGCACAACATTTGTTACAGGACCACTGCTTTCCTGAACAAACATACTTCAATTAACTATACTTATTTAATTATTCAAAATATTTCAATATCAACACCAAGATTAAGAAATTCAAACATCAAATCATTCATGTCATTATTTTTGTTAATAAAGATCAATTTCTTGTTGAATTTTACAACAATACTGCATTTACAATTTGAACCCCAGAGAATCCTTGTTATTTTATTAAGTTGCTAACATTACTGTTATTGTTACTCACCAAACATTCATTATTAGCAGCAGGCAACTGCAGCGGTATGAGATCCACTGTATTAAGCCGGTCTCTTAAATTTGAAAGTCTTTGAGATGCTGACACCTTAGTTGATAATTTAACATCCATATCGTTGTTTGATCGCACTGCTTGTTTCAACTATATATAAACATACATTAAAAATTAATGATAGTATAACATCACACATTTATGAAATATTTGTTTATTTATTTAATCATTTAAATTTTTTAAGAACACAATGTGATATTTTTTTTTTGTTCTGACTGACACTGATAAAATGAAGTTCAGGGGGGTAATTAATAAGGAATAATGATTAACATAAGTATTAAGATAACATTTCCTTATTAGACTTAAAGATATTCAAATACCCACCTCCTCATTATGTGTGTTGTTGGATTCTCTCAAACTTTGCGATGAATTTGAACTTTTTAATATTTTATCTACATGGTCATTTGCTGTCTTCGTTGTTTGTTTAATATTCGACGTTAATTTCGTTTCGTTCGACTTGCTCGAATTGTATTTATTCGTCTATGAAAAAAAAATCATTTTATTATTAAAATGTAAATGCTGTTTATTGTTGTACCTAGTAGATTATTAGCCCAGTTTTTCTGATTCCTAACTTTCGGGTTCGATTTTGTTTGGCATTTTTTTATATTATATTTATACTTTATAGGTTGACGTTTGACCACCATCTCGCCTGATGGTAAGCGATGATGTGGCCGACGATGGAGCACGCCGGCACTGCTGGAATGTACAGTATTGTGACATTCAAAATAGAATTAATTTAAGCATCAATTCATATCCCAATAGTTACTCTGAAAAATTAGTCATGTAGGTACTAGATAGGTTACTTTAAAAAATTTCAATCACACTTTTGAACCAAAAAGTGGCCAGTTTATTACATTAAAATTAATAACTAATTAAGAATTAATTCTTAGCTTGGCGCTACATAAGGGAGAGCCCGTCTATTTTTTGTTTTGATGTGGCAATCAAAATGGCTAATTAAAAATACACAATTGTTTAAAGGAATAACAGATTAGTAGATGGGCAATAGATGAAATGTGAAATGCAAGTTTTGTGATTACCTTATAATGTTGAGTGTTATTATTAAATGGAGTGCTGCTCTTAGCTCTATAATATTGATTGGAGTACTGGCTATTGTAGTTAGATCCATATCCAGATGAAGGTTTTCGCCATGATCCTTGCTTTTTGGGAAATCGATTCTGTAAGAAATATACATAGTTGAAATTTTAAGTTCTCCTGGCAGAGTTTAAATTAGGCATATTCAATTAATGAAACATTTCTGTAATCACCAAATCAAAATAATAAAACATTTACTTTAAAAATTAAAATAGAGATATTAAAAATATTCAGATGTTATTTTCATAACAGCTGATTAACAAAGGATTAATATATATGTATTAATTAAGTACCTCTATCGTATCTTAACATAATTTTGAATGCACTGCAAGATCTGAAAGATTGTTATAGTTTTTCATTAACTTACTGGGTAGCTCAATTTTGGAGCTCTTTTACTTGACTTTTGACGTGAAACCATAGCAGCTATATGTTGTGTTTCTTGACTAGCTATGGCATCGACATACCATTCACCGTTAGCTTGAGTCACTTTAAAACCAGGTACATCAAGAAACAGTTTATCCAGTGATGAATAACCAAGCTTCTTAAATGGAATCCATTCTCCTTGAAGTTCTCGATAGTCTCCTGTTGTATAAAATCCAATGTTATAAAAATATGTAAGATTGCTAAAGGAGAATGCCAAAACAGGAATGGTGGAAAACTAATTGTATAAATTAATTTATGTGTGGCAAGGTCGAGTGTACATAATTTATCCCAAGTTGTTTCCGCTTCATTCCACAGTTTTATTTTATTTTAGTCAATTTATACTGATTTTCAAACAAAATCACTTCATGATAAGATGATCTTGGAAAAACTTGTAGGGTTAAGGGGTTTGCTGGTAATTCTCATTAATATAATTATGTAATTCATTATCTGTATGCTTCATGTTTATCAATAGTAACAATACATTAAGTCAGTTATTCACACACCAGTTATGGTTTTGGCTAAAATGAATAGCATAATTATTTGTGATCTCTTACCTATGATCCATTATATTGTTAATAAATGGATTTAAATCCACTCTGGGTATTTTTGGGCATTCCGCTTTATTTTCAAAATTAATGTGAATTGTGAAATAATAAGCATGTATCATTTTAGAATAATGTGGTACACCATAATGGTACTTACTGTTACATTGTTTTATTGTCAATGCCCCCTTAACTGATATCAGAGTTGCTCTAAGAGCTTGGATAACTTGTTCTTTGTCAGCCATGGTAAGTTACCTGGAAATAAAGTTAAAATGCATAGTTACTATAAAACATCCTTACTATACATATATATAATATTATAAATCATATATCATATCATATCATATAATATATAATTATATATTATATAATATATAATAATATTATAAATCGAAAAGTGAGTTTGTTTGTTTGTTCCGCTTCAATGCCGTAAGTACTAAACCGATTGCTTTGAATTTTTGCAGATGTAAAGTTAGAAGTCTGGATTAAATAATAAGGTACACTTTATCCCGGAAAAAATTGATATTCTCGAGGGAAAACGAAATTATTAGTATAGATGGCGCTGTGTGTATTGGTATATGTCACATAGGCTACATTTTATCCTTTTGTGACGCGAGCGAAGCCGCGGGAAAAGGTAGTCTAAGAATAAAAACGCGAAACTTTGATTGGACATTTGTTACTCAATGACGTCAAAACGGCTGAAGGCATCCGGATGAAATTTGGAACAGGGGTAGATTATGGTTTGGAATAACACATGAGCTACTTTTAATCACACGGGAATGCGGGTGAAACCGCTGATACAAGCTAGTTATTAGATATTTTAACAGACTTAAACAACAGGAGGTTTTCAATTTTACCTATATGTATGTATTTATGTATAGGTATTTGTCCACAATAGTCTCACAATTGACTAAATCATTTCAGATGCTGTTTTCAGAAAAGTGTTTGTTACACTTAAGGGCAGGTTTTATTAGCATATTAACCAACTTCAAAAAGAGGAGGTTGAAGTCAGTTTTTTAGATGCAGTTTATTGAAATTTATATTTTGATGGCTAGGATGTTGAACATTTGCATGAAATACATACACTTATAATACATGTATTTCATCAATAGAACAAATTCATGAAAAACTGCTATGTGTATATTTAATACCAAAACCAAAATTAATTGCTTGAATGTGTTACCCGGATGGAATGTGAATCTTGATTGCAGCTGAACAAATTTAGTTTATTTTGTCGTGTCACAGGGTCCGCTAGTTGTAAAAAAATAAACACAAATAAATATGTTTTTATATGTTACCTCTTTAGCCTAATCCACACAACGTTAATTGAACCAAAATACAGTTTAAAGAGTTTTCTAATATTATAAAGAGGAAAGATTAGTATTTTTGTATTTTTGTATGTTTGTAATGAATAAACTCAAAAACTACTGGACCGATTGCAATAATTTTTTCACCATTAGAAAGCTGCATTATTCAGAAGTAACATAGGCTATATAATATCACGCTAGGTCCTATAGTTATGGAGCAGTAACCAAAAATGTTTTAAAAACGGGGGAAAAGTATTCTGAGGCCTTCCGTAGCGTGCGCTGAGCATATAGTTAAAGTTATACAAAAATGCTCTATAGATGAATTGTTCATCTTAACATTATTTTTTAAAAAGTCCGCGAGAGCATATGTCTACCTTTTATAGTTTATCCATAACAATTGTTTTAATGAATGGTTCAATCCTTATAAAAGTTTGCTCTAGATAACTTTTGAATTGTTTAATCAGTTACCTCAAGACTATTAAATCATCCAAAAGATACCTATTAGGTAAGTACTTACCTACTATTTCAAAAATAATAAACTGAGAATAAATATAAATAAAACGTAAAACTATGTAAAACATCTTAAGTCCCCCCGTGCGAAGCCGGGACAGGCCGCTAGTATCATATATAAGTTTATAATAATTTTGTTACCTCATGCTCTTGAGAACAGGTGCAGGTAAAAACTATTGTTCAAATAAAACGCGTTGCCTGATAAAGTAAGTAAAATAATATGTAAGGTATGAGCAATAATAGGATAAATTCAGTTTATAATTTAATTATACATAAATAATACTACAAAGAGACGGCTAAACACTCATAAGTCGTCTACAACAACGATGCATGAAATAGGTAAATTGGGTAAATTACCAAATAAACAGGTACGTTACTCAACTATTTTTTATAAAATACCTGCGACAGTGCAGATGCGCCGGTGTTTATTGTCTAATGATAATAAGTATATCGTCAGTCAAGGCCTAATACCTTCTAAAAATATCGGGTTGTCGTTGAAATATTGTTGAATAAATATCTAATAATTGCTTGTAACTATTTATGACGCGTAAGCAAGAGAAATCAGTTCATATTAGCAAATATTGTAAACAGTACACATACCTACTTTCACTTCGGCAATAAGGTACTGAATAACTAAAAATATGATTCACCAAATAACTACAATACATATAATATTTAATATCTTACCAAACAGCAACTAAATTTGAAAACTAGAAAGCTTCATCAAAATTTTCAATAATCTTCACTCCTCACGATACGATCCTTTAGATTTTTTCTTTTTTTTGCATTCCGTTCTGTTTTCTGTATTGGTATTGCCAAATATAATTATGCCAAAATTCAAGTGTTGCCACCTTCATTTCGCAATTTTGCACTACAATAAAAAATAAATATGAGATTTAAAGAAATAAATGAGGTCGCTAGTATCGTACATGTGACAACCTGGTACACTACAACTCAACCAGGTTTGATAGTTGTTATTTATAACGAGCTTAAAAAGAGGAGATACTTTGTTCAAATGATCGTATAGTCATGAGATATATATATTTATAAATTTAATTTTCAGGTAACTATAGCCATAGACTAATGCCAATAGATACATACCGTACAGACTAACATAAAAACTTCGATATTAGTCACAGACAGACTTATAATGTGTAAGCAGACCCAACATTACCTGAAATTTGTGAAGTCAGAAACACAGATGCGCAATTTGTAAACCGGGGCCAGACTAAGGTCTGCATTAAAAATGAAGGACTTTATTAGATTCCTATGTACATAGAGATAAGCGTGTTTTGAGATAAAGAGTCAATATTTATAAATACTGAATAAATATAATTATTTTCTATAATTTTTATGTATGTGTTATCAGAAAGTATGAAAATGACAATGCCAGATCCTGACCCAGTCATAATATCATTTACAAAAAAAGTAAATTGATGAAAATAATTTTGACGAATAAGGAACCTTTTCACAATATCTCTTTTTATTTTTAAACTTGCGGTTTGCAATCTAATAAAATATTATATCAAAAGTATAATTATGTATAACATTTATTTATTTATTAATAATTACAGATGAAATCACGAAAATATAAAAGAAACGATTACTATCATTAGTTATGATTTTTTTGTGTAACGAAACGTTTTGAAGCCCTTGTCAGTTGTCAGCTGTCAGTGTCAATATTATCTTTCATTCGCTCTCTGCGTTTCCGTTGTTTTCGCGTTATTTATCATTATTGTTTTGTGTTTTAAACAAAAACCGCAGGTTTTACAGGTTTCAGGACAAAAGTTTAGGTATCGGTAATAAATACACTACACGATGCTGAATACTACATACTTGTACATGATTTCTAATATAGTGGGTCAAAGATGTACTGAGCACCTGGCATTGTCCTTTTATGAAAATATAATTCGGAAACTAGGTATTTAGGAACTATATAAATATAGTTTAAAAAATTATTTAATACATAATTAATAATTATAGTCGCGGAGAACCTAATAGGTTACCGGGGCTCCGGCTCGACGTGCAGGATAAGGAACGCGGTGGCTTTTAGTCAGTAAGAGTCTGACACTCCGTCCCGCCTCACCAAAGCGTATAATAAGTATATGGGTTCGCCTCACCCAGGCGGAAGCAGTCATTCGATGATTTTCCGCCTTTAAAAAACCGATGAAAGGTTATTCCAGGTATTTTCATATAGCTATTGGTGTCACATGGGTATTCACTGCACTTCACCATTTTATTTAAAATTATTTAAACGTTTAATGGTATAAACAATTAATATTTTCTTTTATAACGCGACTGACACAGTTGTAGGTAAAGATAGCAATATGGTGTCATGCGAAAAACTGGCTACATGTCAATATTTATCTATGTGTGGAGCACTGTGGCTACAGGTAAAAGAACGAGACGACACCAATCTAGGTGCTTAACAGAACAATGACAAAGATTGATGGGTATCATATTGAATAACTAGGAATTTAATGTTTGGACTGCTTATTGTACGTCTATGATGTTAGTAAATAAACTTCACTATGCACTTCTGACTTCACTATGCACCAGGTCACCGTGCCGTCTTCTTCCAAAACAAGATGTGTGAAACATATTGGCATTCTCACATACGCCTTGAAATTGATGTTGCGGGTCGACTCTAACAACTGCACTCTCACCCTGTATCTGGTCTTCTGGAATACGTGCTCCGCGTTGTCCCCCCCCGCGGTGGTGTAGTGTAGGCGGGAGATATGCACCCGGGTGTTCGAATGGGCGGCACGCGCTTTGATATTATGCTCCACAGGAGCGGTGCCGTAACGGTTCTGTTAATTTTAGGACGGCGCCTCCTCCCTTGTACTGTAACCATCTTCGTCAGCCCTTGTCGTTTCTTTCTCAGGAACGGGTTGCTATATGAGAGAGTTTTTCGCTTGCATGGGTACTACAGAACTTAGCAGCTGTACGGCTGGTTTATCGGCCGGTATGAGAGGCCTCGCCGAGGTGAGTGGTTTAGTCCAAGTCAATATTAGTTACAGCTGTCACCACGTCAAACTCTTTTTTGTCAAACGGTACAATTAAATTAAAGAGTCTAATAAGTATTGGGGAATACATTCCATACAGCGAAATGTAGATATACTGAAAAAGAAAATCGTCTTTTCTTTCAAAAATAGTGTTGATAATACTGCATTTAAAGCACGGGCTTACTGAAAAAAAAAAAACATTGTATTTTCTTTAAAAAATAATGTTAATATTACTGCGTTTAAAGCACGGGATAGGATGATATTAGAATGAAATCAATGAAACAAAGCTTCTTTGTGGGTCTTTGTACAAGTAGAAAATTAGAAATGTTGTATTCTGATGATTTATTTACCAATAATACACATAAAGAACATAATATAATATAAATAACTAAATTTATACGACATAAAATTAACTAAAATTAAATCAGCGAATTAAAAGAAGGATAAAAGAAAAAAATCTTAAATTCCGTCAATTGGGCTTCAAAGAAATGAATTATTTATAATAATAAGTCATTTCTTTTATACCTCTTTTTTGAAATTTACTCAGTATTTATTTTATTTCATTCGTTTACCATCGGTGATCCGTTTGCTCGTTTGCCTCCTATTCCATAAAATAAATATTCACATGTTTATTAGTATTTATTTCGAGTATGTAACTGAGAAAAGGCCCATTTCTATTCATCGTTAGAGATAACCATGACTAGAAATGGGGGTTTTTTATGGGGGTTTTTACGGATTTAAAAAATGTTTTTAAAATGAAATATAAATGAATATAAATTCTCAGTAAATATATTTTTCCTACTTTTTTCTCAAGTGTCATATCCAAAAAATTTGATTTAAGTATTTATCCGACAAATCACCCATCTATAGCCATTTATTTAAACTAGTCCACGACACACTTTGATGCAGTAATTTATTTCCGCCTTTATCTGCCTCTATTCATGGATTTTGTGTCTATTGGCCAGCCACACAAATCATAGACTATAGAAATATGCTCCATCCATGCGTTCTTACTGGGTTCCGTTCGCCATCTTGCATTTCGTCAAACGTCACCCTTTCCTTTGGTGAGCAAGGTGTGTTCACGTGAGGTTGTGTGTTCCCTTCTATAGTAGGTCACACAATCCTCAGAATTTCGTGAAATATTCTTGTAAAATAAAAAAAAAATCAAAAAAATTCATAAAATCCAAAAAAATAGTAAAATAACAAAAATTTAACGGGAATCACTTGATTTTAAGTTAGTGTACGTAAGCGTGCAACGTGGTCTGAGGAATGCGATAGTCATTATAAAGAGAAAGTGAAGTTGGTCTTTGCCTACATTAAGTTAATGTCGACGTAAACCACTGCAGTGAAATTTTCAAAATGAATCCTGGTCCACCTAATTACCCTATGGCATCTTTGTATGTCGGGGATTTACACTCCGATATTACTGAGGCCATGTTGTTCGAGAAATTTTCAACCGCTGGTCCGGTTCTTTCAATACGCGTTTGTCGCGACATGATAACTCGTAGATCCCTCGGCTATGCGTATGTGAACTTTCAGCAGCCTGCAGATGGTGAGTACTTTCTGGATTATTTTTCTTCTAATACCTTCATTTATTTCAGATACCTACAAAATTTCATTCGAATCGGCTATTGATTGACACATGTACATTATTATTTCTACAAAACTTATTGAAATTTCACCAAATCGTCCTACTCTACAATATTTTATTTTCCGTGAAAACTGACCGAATAATACTAGAAACATGCAGTTTGGTACAGTAAATAATTTCCTTTCTGAGCATCTAAGTATCCACTCTATATTCCAATCATGGACAATTCTTTATCTATTCAGATAAGGTTACTCATTTTGATTTCATCCCTAACTATCCATGCTGCATAAGTGCATATATCATAAATATACATTTTTTCAAATTTTCACTTTTAACCTCAAATAATAACAATATAGGTGTTTATTACTGCTCAAAGCTGTTTTTAATCACACCAAAGTTCTCGTAACGTTTTCCTTTTAAATCATGTAATAGTATGGGTTTTAGTGTTGTAGTAATCTTTATTCCAATCTACCCTTCCCCTTCAGGTTTTTAATGCTTTTATTGGGAGGTATATTCGTAATCATAACTTGTAAAATCTATTAAACTGTCAAACACCAAGCGGTCACCGGTGACCGCTTGGTGTTTGACAGTTTAACTGAGGGATAACTTTGAATAATTGACAATTCTTCCATACTCAAATCTGTCATATGTCTATTTATTCTACATTTAGGAATTAACTGATGATTGTTAAAAACAGCCCTTAAAATGTTTCTGCCTACTGGCCATGGGTAAAAGTGGGAGGAGGAATCTTATATATTTTATTGTGAGTGAGCCTTTTGCCAAATACCTACCCCATACCAGTACTGAATAAATTGAAAAATCCCCAACATTAATTTGCCTGCCCTTGGAATGAACCTCACAATTTGCGATTGCAACTACTCAACCAATAGACAAGCCAGCTATTAAAATATTTTAGGACATTAGGTGTTAAAAATTGTGCCCTCAATCATGAATGCAGACTTTATTACTTAGGATACTTAAAATAAAAATTCACATGATTTGAGTAGTACAGGGTAAATAATTATTTAGTGGTATAAAATGCTATTCCGAGTATTAAACAACTTTTTTATTTGTTACAGCTGAAAGAGCTTTGGACACTATGAACTTTGATATGATCAAAGGAAGACCGATTAGAATCATGTGGTCCCAACGAGACCCATCTCTTCGCAAATCAGGCGTTGGGAATGTTTTTATTAAGAATCTTGACAAAACCATTGACAACAAGGCTATGTATGACACCTTTTCTGCCTTTGGTAATATTTTAAGCTGTAAAGTTGCTCAAGATGAAACTGGAGCCTCTAAAGGATATGGCTTCGTTCATTTTGAAACCGAAGAAGCAGCTAACAAATCCATCGAAAAAGTTAATGGAATGCTTTTAAATGGCAAGAAAGTTTACGTTGGTAGATTTATCCCACGTAAAGAACGTGAAAAGGAACTCGGCGAAAAAGCTAAATTATTCACCAATGTCTACGTCAAAAACTTTGGAGAAGATTTTAGTGATGAAATGCTTAAAGATATGTTTGAAAAATACGGCCGTATTACAAGCCATAAAGTTATGTATAAGGACGATGGATCCTCAAGAGGTTTCGGGTTTGTGGCCTTTGAAGATCCAGATGCTGCCGAAAGGGCCTGCATGGAGTTAAACGGGAAAGAACTTGTGGAGGGAAAACCTCTTTATGTTGGTCGTGCTCAAAAGAAAGCCGAGCGTCAAAAAGAACTTAAGCGGAAGTTCGAGCAGTTGAAATCTGAACGACTGACACGTTATCAAGGTGTAAACTTGTATGTCAAAAATCTTGATGATACTATTGATGATGAACGTCTACGCAAAGAATTCACTCCTTTCGGAACTATTACTTCAGCTAAGGTGAGCGAGTTAATTAATTCTAGTACCATACTATTTAAAATACATTTATTTATTTTTCTGTCATTTGTTAAATTATGGTATCTAGTGAAGTAAATAGGTCTAGTTTATTTAACCCGTCGTGTGTCGAAACGTGGATCCACGCGAGACACAACGTAATTTCTATTGTATCACCTATTGGTGCATTCAAGCAGTTTAGTCATGTCCGTCATTTCCAATAATAATAATAATATTTAAAAAGTGGAGACTGGGTCAAGAGTATGTATTTGTGTATTTAACATAGTAGAATATTACTATTTTTTAGACTTACCAGACAATTATTGTTTCAGGTGATGTTGGAGGATGGCCGAAGCAAAGGTTTCGGGTTTGTATGTTTTTCTTCTCCGGAAGAAGCTACCAAAGCTGTAACAGAAATGAATGGTCGTATTGTTGGAACCAAACCTCTGTATGTAGCTTTGGCTCAACGTAAAGAAGATCGGAAGGCTCATTTGACTTCGCAATATATGCAAAGAATGGCGAGCATGCGTATGCAGCAGATGGGTCAAATATTCCAACCAGGTGGCGCTGGTGGTTATTTTGTCCCTACTATTCCACCCGCGCAAAGGTTCTACGGACCAGCGCAAATGACCCAGATTAGACCATCGCCACGTTGGACTGCACAACCGCCAGTTCGTCCTAGCACCCAGACAGCTGCTTCGGGTTATCCTAACATGCAGGCACCTTTCCGTCCGACACCTAGAGCTCCTACTCAAGCTGCTCTGCGGTCGTCTTTGGGAGCAAGAGCTATAACAGGTCAGCAAGGCGTTGCTACCGCAGCCTCCATTCGGGCACCTCTGGTCACCCAGAGTGGCAGGCCTGCCGGTTACAAGTACACAGCTAACATGCGTAATCCACCAGCTCCACAACCAGCAGTTCACATCCAAGGCCAAGAACCGTTAACATCAACCATGTTAGCAGCCGCTCCCCTTCAAGAACAAAAACAAATGCTTGGAGAGCGTTTGTTCCCCTTGATTCAACGAATGCATCCTGATCTAGCTGGAAAAATTACAGGAATGCTTCTCGAAATCGACAATTCTGAACTTCTTCATATGTTGGAACATGGAGAATCACTCAAAGCTAAAGTAGATGAAGCTGTTGCTGTATTACAAGCTCACCAGGCTAAACAGCAAGCTACGAAAAAGGAGTAAATTACATAACAGCAGTGGCCAAATTTAATTAACAAGAACGCATATAAACATACTTGTTAATTTACTGTAATGCTTTGAACATCTTACATTATTATCCCGCTCATAAAAAATATAAAAATAAAAATTGAAAAAAAAGATACAAAATGTGGATTGCACTCTTTCCAAATAATTATAAAATAAAGTTATTATACTTATTGTCATTTGAGTGCAAATCTGCAAACAAAAATAAGAAACTGTCAACATTTCTATATTTGAGAGAGTATTCTAAACTCATAGACTTTTTACATTAACTGAGAAGTTTGTTTTAAGTTTTTTTTCTTTAGCTTTTTATTTCTTTTGTATCTCAAGAAGGAGAGTTAATTGGCTTATGTTCTTTCAATTTCATTCTTATCTTATTCTTTTAATCAGATTTACATTGATACCATGGATTGTAAACTTGGTCTCTTATGTAACTGGTTCAATATTCCTTTATGATTTGTTACATATATTCTGTAAAAGCACATTACAATGATGTTTTATTTTATCTTAATAAAGTAAGCCCCCAATTTTGCAGGCAGCGGCGCGGCGGGCACCGATTGACTAGAGAGCACCGCTCATTGCTCGCCCGCGCGCCGCTGCCCCGCTGCTGTTTTCGAGAACCGGCCCATTTGATTTTACGTACCTAATAGATTCTGCGCCGCCGCCGTATAATACGTAAAATCTGTCTGTATAGACCCAGTATAGGTACTACGTATTCCCACATGTGTGCAAAGTTCTCATCATAACAAATTAATAAAGCCCAAACACTAAGTAGCTACTGTCAGCCGTTGAGGAGTTCCCCTAGCTATCATACTCTTTCATCATCAGGCCCCCCATGTGACGATTACAACCCATTCAGGTGTACAGTTCTCAGTAATACAAAACAATCAAGCCCAAACATCAGGTAGTTACCGTTAGACATAAATGAGTTCCTTTAGCTATCATACTCCTTTATTATCAGGCCCCAAATGACAATTACACCCCATTTAGGTGTAAAGTTCTCAGTAATACAAAATAATCAAGCCCAAACATCAGGTAGCTACTGTTAACTGTTACGGAGTTCCCTTATCTATCATACTACTTCATCATCAGGCCCCTAATGGTAATCACATCCCATCTAGATGTAAAGATATTTTCAGTACAAATAATTTCAGCCCAAACACGCGGTCATTGCCACAAATCCTCGAGGAGTTCCCTCGACTGTCTTTTGACTCCATCATCATAACAACTCCAAACCCTAATGAAATTGTAATAGTTTTAAATACTACATAAAATTTTTACAAACGCTCTCGCCGCCCATACAATTCAGAAAAGTTCCCCTCAGTTTCCATGAGATCCCATAATCAGATCCTGACGTAGTGGAAATTGGACCACCCCGAAAGTATGACCTTTCCAACAAAACAATGTGTATAGCTATATCCAAGTTGGGATAAACACTGGACAGAGATCAGAGAGAATTCAGAGATTGATTTCTCAAAATTTATGAGAGCCGCATTGTTCTCATCTGCCACTCACTAGATTTCGATAGGAATGAGATTACTTTCGAGTAATCGAGTACATAACAAACAAACAGGCTTCGGCCTGGACCGATTTCAAAAATTATTTTTTTGTTTAAAAGGGTAAGCTTGTTATTTGGTCCCATTGTCATCAAGTCAGGATCTGATTATGGAATTCCATTGGAACCGAGAGGAACTTTAAAAAATTATAGGAGCGATTAGTGCGTTTGTAAATTTTTTCGTTAAGTATTTAAAACCACTACAATCTGATAAAAGCATGGAGTTGATCTTATGATGAAGCCGAGAGGCAGTCGAGGGAACTCCTCAACGGTTAACAGTAGCTACATTGTTTGGGTTTGATTAATTTGTATTGATGAGGACTTTACACCTAGGTGTGATGTGGTTGTCAATGAGGGTCTTATAATGAAGTAGTGCGATAGTAGAGAAAACTCCTCAACGGGTACCAGTACTAATTAGATTTAAAAGTAAATAGAAATGAAGCTAATCTCTTTTCCGACGTTCAAGTATCGGAAGGAAGATTTCTTAACCTCGTCATTTCTGTCAACTGTCGTCGTGTGGTCGATTAAGTAACTTGTTGGCATCTAAATCTGACAAAACTATCCCTTACTTCTGACACGACTTAGCGCAACATATATTTGCCCCTATGCAAAGTTTTTTCAGCCGAGCTCTTTCGAGGGTCGTGCCTTGTAGTTTATGAACTGTGACCGCCCAGCTCAAGATTAACGAAAACATACGACGCTCCACACCTTCGTAACCCTTTACTGCCTGAAAGATTGTACACACTGGAGGTATGGGTATGCAACCATCGCTATCTTTTAGCCTCGGACTAATAGTATCATCATCAAATTTAATGTAGACAGCTTCCGGTCCCCCTCCTCAAGTTGATCTCTCGTTAAGGCAGGCCATTTGATTTTTTTATAATGCCCATAGCTCCATTCGCTAAGCCTATAGACGTCAATATTGTCGCGGAGAACCTAACGGGTAACCGGGGCTCCGACTCGACGTGCAGGAGAAGGAACGGGGTGGTTTTTAGTCAGTAAGAGTCTGACACTCCCTCCCGCCTCACCCAGGCGGGAGCAGTCATTCGATGATTTTCCCCCTTAAAAAAAAAAGACGTCAATATTACGTCACAGCATTATGCGGTATTCGATAGCGATTTTTATTGATGACAAAAGACCACCACAGTTATTTACGTCTTTGGGAATAACGTCCTCAGGTGGTCTTCTGCCATATGTCGCTACCTTGCGGGATTCGTCCACTGCGTTAATCACATAAGTTTTATGCAACTTGGAATTCTCGTCACTCAGTTTATCGTTGTAAAAGTCGAGTTGTCTGATTGTAGGAAATATATAAACGGCGACTCCATCCGCAAATTCCTCATATAAAGACACATGCCGCCATCCGCATAATGACTGAAGCTGAGCTGACGTTAGTTCACCTACCCGTAGATTGTTTAATAAATCTATAAAATCGGCATTATAGCGCTGCCGCATATTTATAGTATGTTCACAAAATAAAAACTGATGTCATAAATTAACTTCTGCTGATAACCGCAATGGTTGCATAAAACACCAGTGTCCCTTTACAGGAGGAAGTTGAAATATGTCACCAAAAACTAGAATATTCACTCCGCTGAATAACTTTTGGTTATTTTTAAATTCTTGTAATTTTAAGTGTATCATTTCTCAGATGCTCATAGGACACCATAGAAATTTCGTCTATAATGAACCAATTTACGTAGCGCCATTTATGCCTTTCGTTCTCAAGCCTTAGTCCAGTAATTTGCTTGTAAGTCATAGTATTTCGTTTCTCAATTGGTAATAAGAAAATACTATGAAGTGTTTTGCCAAAAACCTTACGAGGGGCAACCCTTCCTTTGTGGAACCGACTTCCTTTGTGGAAGTCGGGTCATTGTTTGGGGTTGCCGCTTTTGGTTTAAGAAGAGCATCTACCGTGGGTACGTAACAACGCTTGATGTGCAGTGTGCTCCACGATTAGTTTAAGGAGAAACGTTTTGCCACTACCTGCACCGCCAGTTATGAATAGTAGAACTTGACTTTCTAGACCTTCACCGTCTTATTACAAAAGTTCGACTTAGTACTCGTTTAAACCCGGACTATAAGATCTAGGTTTGTTACGGTATTAAAGCTAGTACCAGGACTAAAATTTGTTCCAATTATAAAACTAAGACTATTCGGGGATCAGCTAGTAGTACCAAAGAAAGTCCATAGTCCCACAGATAAAAAACATAAATAGCATTCTATCATTCGTTCACTCAGGATCCACTTGAAGCAACGTTCCGTTCGTCTAAATATTGTTATTACAATAACGCCTGAAATGCTTAAATAATTATTTATCAACACAAAATTATATCATAATTTGTTTTTTGTTTGTGTTACAATATAGTGAACAAGCACATCTTGTATTTTGACGAGCTTTTTATAACCAAGTTGTCATATTTTTTAACACCTCTAGCGTGAAATGGAGCGACTTATAAGAAGGCGGCAGAGCACGAATCACGAGACAAATATTGAGTCTTTTTTATTATATAAATATTATTGTGACTGATTGGAAATGGAACAACAACTGTACTTATATCGAAAGTCTTCGTCACTCAAGTCAAAGGGATTTACTGATGTCTGTACGATCGCCGAGACGTCTCTAACATGTCCAAATCTTCTAAATCTCTTATATCCATAACATCAATCGGTTCAATATCCATTTTACAATTATAATAATATAGAAGATACACGTAAATATTTCTGATAGCTAACCTCAAATAACTTTAGTACCTACCGAAGTTAAACTAGGTGTCTCGGCGGTTTAACTTTAGTACCATAGATAGTTCCGGAACTAGTGATAAACTTTGTTTTATAATTAATCCTGGTACTAAAAATAGATCGGGTTTTGTAATAAGACGGTCAAAGTTCTTTTTAATTCTTCAGTAATCGTTGAAATATCTGATTTATGATAACAATGTCTCTATTCCGTTTTTTTTTTATTATATTGTATTTAGTATTTATTTGTGAGATTTTGGCAACAGGCTACTGCTGAAAATCAGCGCCGCGACTCGAGCAATCGCGCTCGTGACACGACATTTTAGCTGAGCACTGGCCTTTTTGCACCGTGTACACTGTAGTTTTTTTATTACTATTTTTTTTCTTGTCTTTTCTGTAATGGTGCAAATAAACTGTTTTTCTTTCTTTCTTCTTTCTAGTTGGACATATGGTACCGCGGAGTTTTTTGTAGACACTATGATGTTCTTCAATATTGATGTATGTACTTACATTATTTTGTTCTATCGCTAATAGTTTCGGCAGCGCATTCGATTATTGGTGAAATAATTTTTTAAAAAAGCCCAGTACTTTTTGAGCCTATTCATTACAAACGTACAAAAATAGGTACAAATCTATCCTCTTTGTAATATTAGTATAGATAAAGCGCTTACTAGCTAATGGCCAAACGTTCGCGTAGCGGAAACTTGAATTTCTCCGAAGTTTATGCATGCACTGATTTCATTCATACATAAACAATTACAAATGCACACAAATTTTTGGACACATTTCTTTTCTTCTAAAGACTACGGATTAAAAATAGTTCCGCCAGGACAATTAATTTCTCCACAATGGCTGCATACCTACACAATTTTTTTTTACCATACACATTTATAGGACCTCATACACTAATTATCTGCATAATTAAAATTTTTAAATTCAACATTCCGCTGCGCGAACGCACACCGAACCTCGCAACTCTGTGTGATCCACAGATTGTTGTTCAGGGTCTAGGTGTCATGTGTATGTGATATTGTATGTTAGTAAACGCACCCACGACACACGAGAAAACCCTTGTGGAGCAACGTTTTTTAAAATAAAAATGGCTAAGAAGATTTATACCAACTTGAGGATGGAATTTATCATAATTCTTTCAAGAGATGCCTACGTCGCACACCAATCTGGTGGTCAAAATAGCTTATCAATTTTAAATTATGCCCAACAAGACTGATATTTAGGGAAAAATTTTATTTGTTACCTACATAATAAAACAAAAAATGATTATTAAATGCACAGGTATGAACAAAATAAAATATTTTTTATTTTTTAGGATTTATTTTTGCAATCACTTTTTAGGTTTTGTTTCTTTCACTGCAGTAGGCGCCTTAGTGACGTCGTCAGGGTTTTCTGCAGCATCCTTCAAACGCTTAGCACGAATACCAACTAATTTAGCAATAGACCGTGCCTGTAAAAGATTATATGAGTATAAGTTTATGTACATTACTTAATAGTTACAAGCTGAAAGTTAGGACCTGGTTCACCATGTCTAGACAACCACTATGTGTCAGATGATGAATGAACGACTTAAGTTGTATAGACTTCCATGGCACATAAGTTTGGGTATTGATACCTATAAGGTGGTGAAACAGACATTTAATTTACTTATATAAACATACCCCTCTTAGGTATTGGTAAGCCTTGAAGTCCTTCTCTTCCTCAGTGATAGCACGAGCAATAGATTTAGGAGCTGGCTGCTGTACAGGCATCAATGGTCCTCGGAGCTGAGTGGCCAATTTGCGTTCTTCTTCATTTGCTTCTCCCTTCAGTACCTACAACAAATATTAATTTATAAATAATCTACAAGACTGGTATTCTATGTCATGGATGCATAATCAAACCCAGACTCTGATATTGTGGCTTATACAAATAATTTTTGTATGCAAGAATGAAACCCGCATGGGTTTTATTAATTTTGTCTTATTTTGTGCAGTCATAAAATATGCGTAAATTAAATTGTACAATTTTGCAAAAAAAAAGATCAAGTAAATCAAAATCTGCATAGTATTTTCATAATTGATTGCATTTTATTTTGCGACATTATTATAATTATGATGATTATTAATATAGTTTATGCATTTAAACTGTCAAACACCGAGCGGTCACCGGTGACCGCAACTTATTGTTCTATGTCTATATTGACGGTACTCAACGAGTTAATTACTATTATGAATGTATTTATTGCGTCTGATGAGTGCTTGATGATGCACTTATGATGTCGTTAATGTGACTATGTACAGGTACATATTTTCCTGAAATAAACGACTTTTACTGTTATTTATAATTAAAAACAAATTATAACAGACCAACAAAAAAACTACTGGAAATCGAACCACTGGTTAATGGTGAGTTTTACGAGAAATGGACACTAATGATTTAATTCAACACCAGGGTCATAAAATTGTCGTTTAGGTTTGCAACTGTCAAAACAAATTCCATTTTATATCATAAGACATGCAGATAACATGTGTTTTGAGATTGACCAACATTTTTCAATATGGTTTATACAATCATTTGAAGTCAATATCTGAAAATCCTGTTGTACATAAAAAAATAAGATAGCCTTCTATAATTGGGTAGTTTACAGGGTATCAAAATTAAAAATCTAATTAGTTCGTCAGTTAGATAATGAAAAAATATTAGACATGTATTTTTTTATTTTCTCATATTAAACTGTCAAGCACCGGTGACTGCAACTTATTGTTCTTTAATTGTGTCTATAATGACGGTACTCAACGAGTTAAGTTGCAATACTAAGATAAAATGGCGCTAAGTTAAAGGTGGGAGCTTGTTAGGTACGTCATAACGTGCCACAAAATGTGGCACACTGTGACGTAACACGATATTTCAAATTAATATATTGTCAAGTAATTGTAGTTAACTCGTCGAGTACCGGTTTTGTAGACACAATTATAGAACAATAGGTTGCGGTCACCGGTGACCGCTTGGTGTTTGACAGTTTAAGTATGTATTTGATTTAGTGAGAAAAGAAAAAATATGTGTCTAGTTTTAAATTAATGTACCAGACACACATTAAAACAAAATTTAGGAAACTACCCTATTATCAACAAAACATTACCTTCTTGCCCTTAGGGAACAGGATCAGTCGTGCACGGTACTCCTTTAACCTCTGAACATTAACCTGCAGAGACTCAACAGATTTGTTACGCCTGCGAGGGTCTACTGCAATGCCAATGGTTCTAGCAAAAGCAGGGTTAAGGCCAGCCGCCTGTAAAAAGAATGATAACATAATATAACAATGATATGGTTTTACAAACATGATAACGGTTATTATTTAAGTGTGTCCATTAGTATCATAGTTTCCTACAGGGCAGAATACACTCAAAAAGATTCAATATTCATAACTAGCTTTTGACATTGACTTTATCAGCGAAAAACTGTTTATTTGCACACTTACACAAAAAATAGGATCTGGATGAAATCTGCATTACAGGATTAGATTATGGTGGAAAATGCGGTTGAATTTTTCTGGAAGTACCTAGTGGTCCAAATTAAATCATTATTTTTGTGCTAGATACTCCATTTATCAAAGAAGATTCTAGGCTATATAACATCATGCTACGATTAATAGCCAACCAGTGCGGATGAAAAGGCGCCAGGAAAGCTAATTACTAGGTAACTAATTTTGATGGTGTTATGTCCAAATACATTTTCATCTATTTGGATGGCTTTTAACAATTAATCTTAGAAAATACAATAATTATTAGTCTATTATTAACATACATACATCAGTCTATTATTACAAAATAGTCTATTGATATAAATTATACATTAATTAATTATTAACAGACAATTCATCCTACACACTAAGTTAGACATGTGTACAAACAAATTATAAAATACTGGTTTACTGATAGGTATGATATATTTGTTATATTATAGAAGTACCTCATGAATGCAGATGGTATTGAGTAATAATGTCCACCACTGTAGGACAAAGCATTATTGAAGAATATACAATAATGATTTTGATACTTTAGACTAAGATTTGACTACAATAGGAAAACAAAAAGTATTGATATGTGAATACTAAATAAGTATAACATAGTTTAAAATAATCAATTTGAATATTATTAATGTTGAGATAATATAAACATAGACCAAGTAAGACAAGGAAGATCAAGGGGGTGTCCAGTAGGATTCACCTCCATTTCAATATGTATAAAGTTGTGAAAGTATATGTGATTATTTCAAACAATAAAAACTCCTGTGATAATACCTTGACATAGTTAAAAAGTAACTCACTCTGATTTCGCGAAGAGTAAATCCACGACCCGCTCGCACTTTTGTATGATAGCGAATAGTGGGACAACGGACAACGGGTCTCAAAGGTCCAGCAGCAGGACGTGGAGCAACGGCTTTGGCCTTCTTGATCCTGTTCTGTTTTCTACGATGACGTCTGGCCGGCTGATTAAACCAAGTCTTCACAAAACGTTGCCAATCCTTATGGAAATGGCCATTAGGGATCATATTATTTCCCTTCCCCATGTTTGGTGAACCACAACTTCAACTAAAACACAAAATCCAAAAATAGACAAAAATATTGATGGCACTATGTACAGTAATACAAAATCGATTATAAAAAATGCTAGTGATAGTAAGATTTATATAAAATAGATAGATTATGAAAAGACTGACCGGTGTAAGGGAGAAGATGTGTAAAAAGAACTGTTAGATGAAAGAAACGACACAAGTGACACTTGACACTTTGACAGTACACGTGGTGTTGCCATTGGGAGATGAATACTTTTATCATTACACTACGTCGTTCCCTTTATCATGGGATATTTATTTAGAATCTATCTATTTAATATTGACGACGATTGTTTGAGAAAAAAAACCATTAAAACTATAGCAACAATCAATGAAAGTACTTACATAGTATGTTCTTAGCTGTGATCCATGAAGAAAGAAATAAGAGGAAATGAACTGTGTATGTATTTCGCGTGCCAAAATAAAAACTAAAATGGCGTAGACTCCGCCTTCTGCCTATTAGATAGTATTCCCCTCCCTAGTTTCCCTAGTCTCCCGAATCCCCGTATCCTCTTGGTGTTTCGGATGTCCATCGGTGATCATACTGATCATCGATTGCTTACCATCGATGATCCATCTGCTCGTTTACCGGATCATATTATAATTATATTTCAATAGGGTAGACGACTAATTTTTATTTTAATGTCCGTCTGGTAGATTATTTAAAAACATTAGACACGTATTTTTTATTTTCTTACGGAAACGAATAGTTTCGAAGATATATTGATTTGAAATGTCGTGACGTCACTTCTCAGTACATTTTATACTAAGAAATGACGTTTTAGCCCCCACTCCTAAACTTTGATTCGTTTTATCTAAGTATTGTTTTATTATACAACAAAATAAAAAAATACGTGTCTTCTGGGTGTAGTTAATATTTTCTTGACCCAATGATTCTAGTCATTACTATCTTAAACGTATTTAGGTAATATATAAAAATATTTTATGTTTATTGTTATCTTATAATATGCTAGCTGTGCCCACGACTTCGTCCGCATGGGATAGTGATTTACAGCTCCTCCCCCGTTGGTGATAGCGTGATAATATGTAGTCTATATGTTGACCCGACCTGTTAGTAATATTCATGCAAAATATGAAGTAAACCCATGTAGAACTTTTTGAGTTTAGCCCGGATATACATACAGACAAACAGACAAAAATTTTAAAAACCATATTTTTAGCTTCGATATCGCTTGTAGATCGCGGACGAAGCGTTCTTTTAAAAAAATATTCAATGTACAGTTTCCACTTTTCTACGATTTTAGTATATGTATATAGATTTAAAATTACAAATAAGATTTAGGTATATAAAAATAATATTGTTTAATATTTTAAAGACAACAGATTTTAACCCTGCACTAGTTTATATTGTTTGTTTACATTATGAACAAGCAGTCAAACCTACAACAAAATATACTAAATCCTCTGATATATATTATGCAGTTTCTAGAATAATCTTTAATAATATTTTTAAAATATCATTTGATAACCAGAAAATACATTTTTCTTTAAATAAATATGACTTACTTGTTAAGCCATATACGACATGATTTACAGCCGTATTTAATGTCCCATATAGCCATTTTTGGTCGCAGATTTGTAAAAGGTGTAACAAGTTGCATCAGTTTCGTAACTGATACGACATATTGCGACTGTGTAGGAGTGCACTTCTATTTGTCGTAACCGCTTAGTAACAAAGTGACAAAAAGTAGTTGTAGTAACTTTGTGTTGTAGCTGTGTCGACTTGTTACAGAAAAAATTGTGTACACACGATTTACACACTTTGCGTATTGTATGTAACTAGTGTACAATATTGGTAACAATGTGTAGTAACTGAGTGGTAACATGTGTAGTTCCGTTACGACAATGTTCCGGAATACTTTAAGACTAACTTGGATAAATGGAAATCACTAGATCCAGTCATTCTCAAACTTGTCTTACGTTAACTACCGGTTTACAGTTTAATAAAAATAAAAAATGACTAAACAACCCGAAATATCACGTAGATTTCGATAGACATCAATATTTTATAAGAGTTAATGAATTAACGAACCAAAATAAAAAAGTACAAGTAACCATTTGAAAGCTTGCTAAACGTAAACCAAAAATGTAACCATCCCTATCCCGCAGTCAAAGAAAGTTTCCTGGTGAAAAAATATTTACTACTGTCAAAATGAATGCGAATTACCAGTTGTCCAGAAACATAAAAGACAAATGGTTTTTAAGTGTACATAATGAAATTGTTGAAATAATGTACGCAATTTCTGCGAATGACTAAATTTAAATCGTTGGAAGGAATATCAAAAACAAATTTGATGTTTTTGAGCGACCGTTCAATTCTTCGCATATCAATGTATATGCAACATTACTTGATTATGAAGCAGAAGAATCAAGAGGATACAATTGACAAGATGTGAAATGTAAGCTTTTTTGTATGGTTTGCAACTCCCAAAAATGGTATTTATTCCGATATTGACAACGTTAGGGGCAATAATAAAATGAAAACATAAGAAGAAACGATTTATATTTAGAAATCACAAATTAAGAGTTCTAATTTGAGTCCTTCCGCAAAAGTGTCGATACCGTTGACCTTTACATTGCATTTTATTTTTTTCCAGTTTTCGGTTAGCACGGTGTTTTCATCCCGTCTTATGAGCTCCAAGTCGCTGTTTTTTTGTACGCGGCCAATAAAGGACGTTATCATTCACCCACGTACTTGGTACAAGGGATATTAATTGAGATGAGCCTTCTTTAGTTAAAACAATGCGATATGGCATTTTGTCAGGCAAACTAAAGGTTGGGAAACTGTGGACAAGAAATCAAAGGGAGACCATTTTAAAAGTTCAATTACATTGTGACGACTTTTCGTAACATGTCCACACAATATCGACACATTATCGTAACATTGTAACTTGTTGTGACGAGAATATTTTTCACTTAACAAAGTTTTTATTTTTATTTTTATCATTAATACGGTTTATTACTGCTAAAATAGTTTATTATTAAATATTCAACTTTATTATTGCATTCAAATAAACGCTTTTGAGAATAAAAAAGTAAAAATACATTAAAATAAAAACAATGTGTATTATCGTCGGAATGATTAAATTATGATATTAATGTGGCGCGTTGATAAATTTCAACCGTTCCCACGAAATTACACGATGAATTAAATTTCGCACTAAGATTTGAGTACCTAAATATTTCAAACCATCAATAAAAATAAACCTTTGTTTACTTATCTACGTGATAAAATGGCTGTTTATAGTCTTTTAATAATTCACGCCATAAGTCAATGTCAACGAATGAGCGATTATGGGCGATTGAGTGAATGATTTGTCGGAACTGGTTAAAATATGGTAACAATGATACGGCACAGCGACGTAAATTAGAAACCGAATGTTACTGTGTCGACTCGTCCCCAATTTTAGTTGCAGCGACTACTCTAACACGGAACGGCAACGAGATTATGTGTCGAGAGTAAATCAGTGTACACACTAGGCGTCGAAACCGTTACGTTATGTTCCCAAAATTGGCTATATGGGGTGTCGTTTAACACTACACTTCAGCATTATCAGTGTAGGACAAAATTTAGTTTTAGTTTCAAATTGGCGCATTTAAGAATAGGATTCTAAAATGGTATCGTAAACTACCTACATTATTTCTTAACTTCGACACAAAAATATATTTATAAATGAAACTGTCTGAACAATTAATTTGGACTTACTAAAATTCTTATGTGCCCAAAACACACCCAAAAATATCGTATACACTTTTTCCTACAGTTGACAATGACTTTTGTCATTCATCGACAATAACTTTGAACATAATACGTTATTTTCTTCTCTTCAAAATTAACCCTTATATAATAAACTAGCTGTTGCCCGCGACTTCGTCCGGGTAGAGTAATGACTTCTAGCAGAATTCATCAGAATCGATTCAGTGCCTAAGTGAGATTTATAGTGAAATGAATTTATCGTAGTTTTGAAAAAATAAATAATCCCGCTGGGATTTTACCAGTACACCACCCGTACCCGTAAGGTGTTAGTGACAAAATTCTATGGACTTATTATTGTACAGAATCTCTCTAAAGTTCAGTGGTTAAGAGATAGGCAGTCTCGGGGCTTTAACGCCAAGTTCCGTTCCCATGGGAGTTCTGCAATAGTAAAAACTATCACATATACATCGTGTTCAGGTCTCAAATTATCATTTCACCGAATGTAACTCAAAAAGATTCAATGATTCATAGATACAATGACTAAGAAGATTTATACAAACTCTCAATACCTATTTTTACCCCTTAGGGGTGGATTTTTCCAAATCCTTTCCTAGGAAATGCCTACGCTATAGTAGCGTTATGCATACAAAGTTAACAAAGTTTCACCCCGATCAGATTAAAATTGACAGTTTTATACAAACTTTCTTCCCCTACTTAGTCCCATTGGGGGTAGAATTAATCAAAATCTATATTTAGGGGATGTCAGTGTCATAACATTTACTACCGAATAAGACCGAATTTCAACCCGTTCACTTTAAAACTGACAAAATAGCATAAACGTTCATCCCCTATTTTACCACCTTGGAGCGGAAATGTTCATAACCCTTTCTAGGGGATGCTCACGTCATATCAAAACCGGTTGAGTCGTAGTGTACCAGGCTGTCACATGTACAATAAGTACTTGCGACCTCAATACGGTATTTGACAATTTTTGGAAATCGTTTTAAATGGTTGTTTTAGTATATAATATACGTACAAAATTAATCTTACTGCAAAATTTACAGTATTTAGGATAAACATCGAAGTTACAATTTAAATTGTAAAAAGCGCGGCAGAAACGATTTCATTGTAATGGCTCGAGTCACGTGACGCGTGTGACGTCACACGCTAGTACAACAATCCATCTTGCTTGAATATTCAAAGGTATTGCTTGTTATTAAATCATATTTCAGTATTTATTAGAAATTATGTCTTATAAATGGTGTGTAGTGCCACAATGTACAAATACATCAATAAAAACACCGGAAAAAGTATTTTTATCTGTTCCTACGAATCCCAAAAAACGTAAATTGTGGTTACGGTTGGCGCGAAGAGAGCCAAACAGTGTCTCGATGCGTACAAATATTTTTATGTGTGAAGATCACTTTAATGTAAGTAGCACTTAACTTTATACTTAATAGATAGTACCTATCTATTTTCTAATGTTATTTTTGTTTCCTGAGCTACTCATTAGTCTTGTCAAACTTAGTCTAAATAACTTTTTACAACATGAATACTTCACTTGTTTACTTTATTTATTAATGGATATCAATGTGAATTTCAGTTGGAAACAGCCATAAAGAACTACATGATGTACAAAATGGGCTTCAATCAGAAGATGCTTTTGGCAGATGAAGCTGTGCCAACAAAATTCGATTGTCAAGAGGATCGCAAAAGACGGTTGTCTGGTGGACCTTCTCGAGACCTGCCCATAAAGAGACAAAAAAATGATATCGTCACAGAATGCTTACAAAGTTTAAGTGCCACTAAAACCCATGCCGAAATGCTTCAAGAAGACAATTATGTGCCACAAAACGTTATTGAGCCTGAAGGTATGGTACAACTAAATTTTATTTTCCATTACAAATTGAATCAGTAAGATTGTATAATAAATGTTGGATGTTTGTATTTTCAGTATTACCAAGGACTGCAGATAAAGGAATGTGTACAGATCCTATAATTGCTGTAGAAAAGTCTGTCCAAGTGTCAATGAAATCAAATGTGCATTATAGGAGCAAAGCTATACAAACTAGAAACAAAAATAAAAGTATTTCGACATCACCATTCAAAGTGTCCACAACATCGAGTTACACTTCACCTTTTAAATATGAACAATGCAGTCTTCAACGGTTACAGTCAGGAGTTGTAAAAGCAGCTAAAGAAGTTGTTGCCTTAGAACGTGATAAATCAGATAGTGAAATTTCAAGCATTAAGAGTGGTTATTCTTCACCTTTTGTACCTACATCATCAAAGATTACAGATTCTGATAGTTATACTACGGATACTAATTCCACTGTTCATCAACTGCAGTGCCTCAAAAATACCCTACATTTAATTAAAAAAAAACCATTAATGTATGTTGGTATTACTGAACATTGTTATTTTATTATTCAGTTAATGCACAAACACACAAATATAAAAGTAGAACACATTTTGCTATGCTTGAAAAAAATTAGACTAAATAGCACATTTTCTGAATTAGAGGATAATTTTGGAATGTCACTATCATATGCCAGTAAAATATTTTTAAATAACATACCCATATTGAGTAGCTTTTTGAGACCATTTATTGTAAATTTAAACAGTAACTTAACAAAGAGAAATCTTCCAATACCATTTAGACATAACTATCACAATGTCAGCTGCATTATTGATTGTCTTGAAATTGATATACAAAAACCATCTAAGGCTCTACACCAGGCTCTGACATGGTCAGAGTACAAGAAGGGAAATACTGTGAAGTATTTAATATCCTGCACTCCTAATGGATTAGTCAACTATGTTTCTCAAGGCTTTGGGGGCAGAACGAGTGATGTTGTAATAGTAGAAAACACTGACTTTCTAGATAAATTACAACCTGGAACTTGCATCTTAGCGGACAGAGGCTTCAAACACCTAGAACAAATACTTCATAGTAAAGGCATTAAACTATTACGGCCGCCTAGTGTAAGTGCTGGTGTAAAGTTATCCAAATCTGAAGTCCGACAAACTAAAATAATTGCAAGCCTGCGAATTCATGTGGAAAGAGTAATAAGGCGCTTGAGAGAATTCCACATGCTAAAACAACATACAGTGATAAACACCAACATACTTCGTATAATTGACCATATAATTATTATTGCATGTGCTTTAATAAATTTGCAAGACTCTCTTATTAAGTAATGTTTTGTATATTAATATTATATCTTCCTAGAAATACTAAGTAAAGAAAAAATTAAGAAAGAATATCTTACTAAATGTGGCCTTTTGGCTCTGTCTACCTCTGATAAGGATGTGATGTATGAATGTTATCTTTAAGAAGGAAAGTTGTTTGTTTGCATTGAATAGGCTCCAAAACAACTAACCACAGCTCAAAGTGCTTGCCAAGACAATTAATCAAACAAGTCAAATCACAATCAGTGCATAGGTATTATTATATATTATTATGTACACATATTTAGTTAAATTAAATAAAAGTTAGTTAAATTCTTTCATCTTGGGATAGATATGTTACATAACACACTTTTCACTGAGAGCAATGAATGTAGCAAAAACTAAAGGCATGGGGACTTCTAGTGTAGTGTATGTATTTGTAAGTTTTATAAATAAATGTAAATACCTATTGAAAAATAAATAAAACAATGTGCACAGAAAACATTTTTATTTATTAATCTGTCACCCTAGTGCTACGGTACAAAACTGGATAAACATTATTTTTCCAAAAAGTAACCAGCTTTTGCAGTAAATTATGGGTATAAGCACTATCATAATGCACTAAAAGAATATCCACCTTTTGGTTCTCTTCAAATTTGCTATCTGCAACACAGAAATAGCATTTTTTCATGCTAGTTGCATGCATTTGTAATTGCACCTGTGCATTAAATTTTTCTGTAATTACTCCATTTTTTATATAGTTCTCTTTGGTTTTAGCCTGAGTAGGGCATTTTATTTCAATAACAGCATCCTTTGTTAGGCCATCAGGAGATGCTGCAATCATGGGACTCTCATTACATACGTAAAGTCCACATATACTTATTTTTTTGTTCAATATGGAAGCAACTTTCTTTCGGACTGCCTTTTCTAAAGTTCTTCCTCTTTTCATTGCTAGCGTATCTGGTATTTTTGCACCCATCACAGTAGCAATCAATGACCCTTCTGGTGTCCGGCAAACACTCACTTGATATGCTTTTGAAGCTGTGATACGGCCATAACGCATCTCATACCACAAACTGCTTTTATCTTGATTTCTCGTTGCTTCTTCTATGGCACTTATTTCAGCCTCTGTGATATTTGTCTTCATCACTTCAACAAATTTATCAACATCAGCACTAGTTTCCTCTGATTGATTCATCAAAAAACAGTGTAATGAATACTGCATGACATCTTTATGTTTAAAATCATTTTGATATTTAAGTAATTCACATTTGGTTATATTTCTAGATTTGGCCACAGAAATGAATTCATTATATAGTTCAGATGAACTTGGTCTATGAGGCACTGCTTTCTCACACATCTGCTCAACAGTGATATATTTCATAGTGGTCCCTACTCGCGATAGAATAGGTTTTTTCCAGTAGCATTCTACTGAAGTACATGCAGGTTCCTCAGTGCGACGATGGACCCACATCAGGAAAGCAACTGAATGCTTGCATCCCCCAGCTGAAGCAGCACAGTCAAGGCACTGGCAGCTAATGACTTCACTATCTTCTTCATTGATAATCATTGTTACATTATATGCCTTTGACCGAACTTTATGCTCTGGGCATATTTTGCATTTCATTGTGCAAACTCCTTGCTCCCGTTTGATTTGCACATAGCCAATGGCGTCGTCACCATAAGATTCCCTTGCAGACCTGTAAACAAAAGCAAAAACCACATAAGAGATGTGACTCTAAGTTCCTAACCTAAAAATTAAGGCTTATTAAAATCAATTAATACGGGAATAATATTATATAACGACATAAAGGTATTATAATGCAACAATAGCATTTATTATATATGAAAACAAATGATTAAAATATGCCGCGTGAATTTTTTTCTACAACATATAACATATAAGTTTACAAGGGTAAATAATATGTAAATAGATTCCACTTTGGTACTTACACTGCTGTTTTCACATTTTTTAGTTCAGATGAATAATAATCAGCGTTATTCTTAAAAAAAAGTGCAACCATTAAAGCGTCTATCCTGGGTAAGTTGCTGCTATCGGCTTGCACAAAATTTGCGTCCATTTTTAGTATGGTAAACTAATATTAATAACACTAGTTATAAACAATGTCCGTAGTAGCAAGTAGTAACAAGTAATTCTTCGAAAATAGTTTACAAATAGAAATTACAGCCAAAACACAGTAAACTCCAACGACAATCAATAGCGCAAAACACCTGTTCGCTGGCGTGTGACGTCACGAGTGTTACCACCAATCACAGAGCGTTTCGATTCACGTGAAATTATTTAAAAAAACTTCATTTTTATTTTGTGAAATATGTAAATAATATACATTATTTTGTTAAAATAAAGTAGAAGTGGTATTCTTTAGACTATTGTCTCGTAAAATATCTATATTTTGTAGAGTATTTTGAATGTTGTCAAACACCGTATTATTCCAAACTCTTTTTTTGACAAGCTGTACTTTGGAAGGTACCATCATTGTTTCAAGCCAGCGCGCGTCTACACTAGAATTCACTTTTTACCTACACCACGCATGCGAACCTGCGGGCTATTAAACTTTCATTATTTTTAGATTCTTTAAAAAGTACGTTAACCGCAGTGTTATATTAATCTTTCTGAAACTAGGAATATGTAGAAACCGAATCAAAATAAACATGAAACTACAACAACTTTTTTTTGTATCTCTTTTTCTCTAATCCACTTTTATAGTACTAATATTCGTTGTCGCTTAACTTAAACGTACATCCTTACTTCCTTACTATCCTTACTATCTTACTAATAATATTATAAATGGGAAAGTGAGTTTGTTTGTTTGTTCCACTTTCACGCCGTAACTACGAAACCGATTGCTTTGAAATTTTGCAGACGTAAAGTTAGAAGTCTGGATTAAATAATAGGGTACTTTTTATCCCGGAAAAAATGTACATTATCGAGGGAAAACATAGATCTATATATGGCGCTGTGTGTATTGGTATATGTCACATAGGCTACTTTTAATCATTTTGTGACGCGAGCGAAGCCGCGGGTAAAAGCTAGTATTACGTAACCGGCACAAGAATATTGTGTTCATATTTTATACTTAAAAAGAAATGGACAATACTAACCTACAAATTATGAGATTTTAGATTTTGTAAACTTATTCCATACTTATTCCGATCCCAGCACCCCCAGCGACGAATTTATTTGCCCCAACCCCAAGTTAAATTACTGCACCACACCACGACACGCTTCGACTCTCTACTTACTTGGCAACCCTAAATCAGGCTTTTTTGGCTGTAGCAAACTAGCAAATTGTACTAATATTACAGAATCACGACGGGAATATCTCAGTTGTCATAAAATTTTAGGTAGTAAAAATAATAAATTAGTTGATTTACTCGTGTTTAGTTATGGAAGACACCAAAGCAACTCAATCTAGTGATTACCACAAAGAAAACGATGAGAAACACCAGAAAAAGAAGAGCAAAAACAAGAAAAAGCGTAGCGGTGGGGATGGCGACCACGGCGTTCCAACCTTGCCCGATGGTTTAGTCAATGTGCCTAATTCTAGTGATGCCCATCAGAACATATCCTTGAAAGATTTGAAAATGGCTATGGAGGTGTTAAATCTGCAACAAAAACCAGCTAAAACTACTGAAGAAGCTCTACACAAGTCTTATCAATTTTGGTCAACTCAACCTGTTCCAAAAATGGATGAAAAAATCATTTCTAACGAACCCATAGAACCTCCTAAATGTGTTGAAGACATAAGGTCTGAACCTTATACTTTGCCAGATGGGTTCCAATGGGACACTTTGAATTTGAATGAACCGTTAGTACTGAAAGAGCTGTATACACTTTTGAATGAAAACTATGTCGAGGATGATGACTGCATGTTTAGATTTGACTATCAAACTGATTTCCTGAAGTGGGCCCTCCAACCACCTGGCTGGAGAATGGAATGGCATTGTGGTGTTCGTGTAGTTAAGTCTGGCAGATTAGTGGGCTTTATTTCAGCCATTCCTGCTCAGTTGAGAATTTATGACCATGTACAAACAGTTGTTGAGATAAACTTTTTATGTGTGCATAAAAAGCTTCGTGCCAAGAGAGTTGCTCCTGTTCTTATTAGGGAAATAACACGCAGAGTCAATCTGACTGGTATTTTTCAAGGTGTTTACACTGCAGGTATTGTTTTACCTAAACCAATAGCTACTTGCCGCTATTGGCATAGGTCTCTTAATCCAAAGAAACTCATTGACATTAAGTTCAGTCATTTGTCTAGAAACATGACAATGCAGAGAACACTGAAATTATTCAAACTGCCAGATTTACCCAAGACTGCCGGATTTCGTAAAATGGAAATTCAAGATTGTGAAAAGGTGGTTAAATTATTAAATGATTATTTGGGAAAATTTGATTTAGCTCCAATATTTTCAGAAGAGGATTTTAAGCATTGGTTTTTGCCCCAGTCTGGCATAATTGACAGCTTTGTTGTAGAAGCTTCTGATGGCAGTATAACAGATTTTGTTAGTTACTATACTCTGCCTTCTACAGTTGTGTATCATCCAGTACACAAAACACTAAAAGCTGCATACTCATTTTATAATGTATCTACAAAGACACCATGGACAGATCTAATGCTTGATGGGCTGATTACAGCAAAAAATTCAGGTTTTGATGTTTTTAATGCACTGGATCTGATGGAAAACAAGGAGTTTTTGGAGCCTTTGAAGTTTGGGATTGGAGATGGGAATTTGCAATACTACTTGTACAACTGGAGGTGTCCCAGTATGGCACCTAATAAAATTGGATTAGTTCTACAGTAATATTACATTAACTTGTATTCAGTGATAACAATAATGACTGGTTTCTTTGGTTTTTATCACATTGTGTAAAAATGTTCTTATTTGTTGGATAAAAAATGTAGCTTTAGTTTATAATAAAGTGGTTGCCTATTAAATAACTGTTTTTAACAATGAAATATAATATTTACAAATTTCAAAATTGTAAACAGAGTTTGACAACTAAATATAGTCTTTTCCAAGTACTGTCTTTTTCTTGTACAGCTGAGTGGTGTCCTAGGTACTGTCAGTAGTATCTTGGGCAAGAAACTAAGTGAATATTTTTTTTGTTACCAGTGTCTAAATAGTTTACTGTTAACTCGTCGAGTACCGGTTTTGTAGACACAATTATAGAACAATAGGTTGCGGTCACCGGTGACCGCTTGGTGTTTGACAGTTTAATAAGGTTCTGTACCCGAAGTATCAAAACGGGAACCCTTGATAATCTGATAACTTTAAAAATGCCATTGTAAGCTATAATGCTATCACGAACTAAGTTTCATTTTTCTTTCTTGTATGGATAAAATGTATTTTTTTTATTTGTATTAACCCGTGGTATGTGTAACGCAGATATACGAGAGACACAATGCGTTTTCTATTGTGTCACCATATGCCAAAAGATATGCGTAAGTAATCACCCATGCAATCAATCCATTTTTGCTAATGTAGTGGCAGTTATTGATGCCTCCTTATATAGAAGTCAGCTGGACGGGTGGCAACAAATTATAAACTATTTTCATGTATTGTTTATTTGTATTATAATTACCCATGCAAACACGGCATATTTGCCAACGCAGTGGCAGTTATTGATGACTTCTTTTAAAAGAATCAGCTGAACGGGAGGCAACAATTTCTTCAAAGGCATTTTGTAGGTTGCGCTTCGCTGCCTCACTCGTACCGCCTCCTCCTTAGCTAGCATGACTGCTTCGCAAAAGGAGGAGACGGCATCCCAGTCCCCCTCGCTCCGCATCATGGCCTGCACTAGGCCCGGGCGCGAGAGGTCGCCATCGCCGATCACTTCCCTGAGGGCACGGCGGTGCTCAGCCTACGCAGGGCATTCTCCCACTGTGTGTTCCACCGTGTCCTCAGGGCGGTCCTCGCAGTGATGACACCCGGGCGTTTTCTCCCGCCCTATCCAGACACAGCCCTAGACACAGGTACCTCCCGAAACTTCCATGTCCGGTGAGAACCTGCGTCAGGCGGTAGGTGAGGACGCCGTAGCGTCTCTCAAGCCACTCCTCAAAGAGACTTACCGCTGCAATAGCAGCGAGCCCAGCCCTCGGTTGCGACAGTCGTTGCTGCCATTCCGCCATGAGATCGCGCCAGAGCTCATCCCGCCACGCACTTATCTGGCGCTGCAGCGGAGTTTCGCCCCGGCGACGTGCCTCCGCGTCCGAGCGCATTTGATACACGCGCGCGGCGGTATCCGGCAAGGAGGCGGTATCCGGCAAGGAGGTTCGCCGACTCCCCGGAGATCGTGCGGTATCCGCGGATCATTCGGATCGCCATGACCCTCTGTGCCATGAGCAGCGTCCGAGCGGGACGCCGCAACAGGTTAGGCGCCCAAACAGGGGCGCCGTAGAGGGCCATGGACCGCACGACCCCGGCGTATAACCTCCGGCAGGAGGCGTTTGGCCCCCCGAGGTTGGGGAGGATGCGTTTAAACGCAGCCCCCGCCCTCGCCAACTTTGGAGCCAAACGTCGGAAGTGCTCCACGAAGTTCCACCGACTGTCGAGGACGAGTCCCAGGTACTTCATCGCCGTCTCGACGCCGATGGTAACCCCTCCCGCCGTTATTTGAGACCCACCCGGAGGTTGCGCGTTCCCGCGGCCATGAAAACACATGGCCTCGGACTTGTGGAGCGCCACATCGAGTCCCAACTGCCGGATTCTTTCAACGACTGTCGCAACCGCTGTCGCCATTAAATCCACTACGCCCTTACCCCCGGACACTGCAGTCCCCGTCGTGAGGTCTCTAACGCGCATTATGGCGTCCACCGTGGAGCGCCCTCTGCGGAAGCCGAACTGGCCGTCCGACAGGTCCGGCCCAATGTACATCAGGTGCGCGACGAGGCAGTTCGAAATGATTCTTTCGAAAACTTTCCCCGCCTCATCGAGCAGCACTATGGGCCGGTACGCGGACGGAGAGTCCGCAGGGCGCATATATGACTACTAGCTTTTACCCGCGGCTTAGCTCGCGTCACAAAAGGATAAAAAGTAACCTATGTGACATATACCAATACACACAGTGACACAGCGCCATCTATACCAATAATTTCATTTTCCCTCGAGAATATCAAATTTTTCCGGGATAAAAAGTATCTATTATTTAATCCAGACTCCATCCAGTCTAACTTTACGTCTGCAAAATTTCAAAGCAATCGATTTAGTAGTTACGGCGTGAAAGCGGAACATACTCACTTTCCGATTTTAATATTAGTAAGGATTAAGGTTATATACCTAATTATGTATTCTTCAATATATATTTAGTTATGTTGTAGTATAGATAACATAACATAACATAACATCACGCCTTTTTATCCGCGAAAGGGGTAGGCAGAGGTGCACATTTCGGCACTTAATGCCACTGTTTATGTTATAAGTTCCATGTAATAGGGGGTGAGTCTATTGCCATATACCGGGCACATTTCCAGAATCCCGTGTCCGTGCTACTACTGAGATTTTTAAAAAACCCAGTAATACTTTGCCCGACCCGGGAATCGAACCGGAGAACCCTTGCCTGGCGGTCGTACTTGCGACCACTCGGCCAACGAGGCAGTCATGTAGTATAGATATATTATGTATATTGTCGAATTATGTATGTGTTCTTTCAAATAGTTAAATTCAACGCATATTCTTGCACCCGCTGAATACTTTCACTGCATCACCCAAGGGTCAGACTGGTATAGAAAATGCCTGCGGCATTAAGTCCACCCATGTGCTTGTTTGTGTGCATAAAGCTTTTTAAATAAATAAATAAATATAGTACGTATAAATATAGTAGTAAGTACCTATGTACCTTATGCTTGTTATGTGTCGTCCTTTATAATATTGTCTGTGTGGTGTAGGTACATGAAATTATAAATAATAATAAATAATTTGAATAGCTTAGAAATTACTAACGTATTAATGTACGTATAATTAAAAATATTATCATTAGTTTCGTTTAGATAGAGTGAGTAACGCTAGGTAGGTCTGTACAACAATAAAAAAAATAAGATGGCGGATTTTTGACACTACTGTAGCCACACTAGCCATAGCACAAGCTACAAGGATTTAGACCATCGTTTAACAGAAACCAAGAAGCAGACAGCTCTGAAAAGAGCTATTTTATTCAACGTTTTTGACCGCCTCTGTTAATACAGACAGCTCTGAGAAGAGTTATTTTCTTTAACGTTTTTGACATACTCTGTTAACACAGACAGCTCTGAAAAGAGCTATTTTGTTCAACGTTTTTGACCCTCTATCTACAAGAGACGAAATAACTCGCCGAGACGCCGCTGCCAGTATCACGCGCCGATCAGCGTACGTAGGTATCGCAGCGTGGCACGATGCACGGCGTTGACATCTTCACGGCTCGACGGTCGCAGGAGGAAAGGACAGAGGCACGCGTTACGCAATATTTATAGCGGCGCGAAACTCAGCGCGCGGCGCTGCGGAGGCGCGTCCTCTTTGCACGGACCTCTCACTCATCGGTAATCTCGCTCTTTTATTGGCTATCCTTTTCTATGCATTGTTCATATTGTAAATAAATTTCTGTTCCAAATAGTGAAACGCTTTTTTTTTTTTTTCTTTTTAAGGGGGGAAAATCATCGAATGACTGCCCCCGCCTGGGTGAGGCGGGAGGGAGTGTCAGACTCTTACTGACTAAAAACCACCCCGTTCCTTCTCCTGCACGTCGAGCCGGAGCCCCGGTTACCCGTTAGGTTCTCCGCGAC